CCATTGCATTTTCTTTAACTTGTCAGTTTCTGCGTCCCCACCTCCTGCTCGCCGTATGGTTAGTTCTCGTTTTCTTAATGAGAGCACAGGTAGCAATTTTTCTGCTGCTTTTGATCCACCCTGTTCTCCTGATAACGACCCAGATTCCTTAACTTCTCAGTTTAACGAGCACTGCCTCTCCATTCTGGACAACATCTGTCCTGTCAGAACCAGATCAGTTCCTGCAGTGAACCCTACTCCCTGGTTTAATGACAGCCTTCGCAGCCTAAAGCGCCAATGCAGAAAAATTGAGCGCTTGTGGAAGAAAACCCATCTCCACGTCCATCTGCTGCACCTAAAGGATCTTCTGACATCCTTTAACTCTGCAGTCAGAGACGCTAGGGTTTCCTATTCCTCCAACCTGGTGTCCCAGAGCAAAGGGAACCCCAAGGTGCTGTTTAACACCATCAGCAGCATCGTCTCTCCTGCCACTCCTAAAGCCTCCATCCACTCTGTTACAGACTGTGAGAACTTTCTGTCTTCTTTGTGGACAAAGTCAATAAGGTTAGATCTAGCATCTCTCCTTCAGCCTTATCGCTGCCTCTCCCGACTCCAACCAGGCCCATCATCCTAGATAGCTTTGCTCCTGTTTCTTTGCCTGAGTTAACCAAACTAGTTAACTCTATGAGGACCTCTGCATGCCCCCTCCACATCTTACCCTCATCTTTGTTTAAAAGTGCTTTTCAGTCCATAGGTCCCATTATTATCCATGGTCCATTATTAATGCTTCTCTGGTCTCTGGTCAGGTCCCTGCTTACTTTAAGAACGCTGTAATCCACCCGCTTCTAAAAAAAAACGAGTCTCGACCCCTCTCTCCATTGCAGCTTCAGACCCATCTCTAAACTTCCATTCATCTCCAAGATCTTGGAAAAGGTTGTGGCTAAACAACTCACAGCTGCTCTTGATGAACAGAACATCTATGATAGCTTCCAGTCAGGTTTTCGTAGAGCTCATTCTACTGAAACAGCTCTTCTTAGGGTCTCTAATGACTTTCTGACTCACAGTGATGCAGGGGACTGTTCTGTTCTGGTCCTGCTGGACCTGACTGCAGCCTTTGACACTGTTGACCATCACCTGCTACTGGAGAGGCTGAGAGACTGGGTCGGCCTATAAGGAACTGCTCTGGAGTGGTTCTCCTCTTATCTCTCTGAGCGCTCCTTTTCTGTGGCCGTCTCCAAGTTTAGGTCCTCCACCACCTCTCTTACCCATGGTGTCCCACAAGGTTCTGTGCTGGGGCCTCTGCTTTTCCTCCTCTATCTGCTTCCTCTTCAGCACATCCTGAGCTCCTTCAAAGGAATCTCCTACCATCTTTACGCAGATGACATCCAACTGTACATCTCCTTTAAGCCCCATGAGATGTCTAAGCTGCAGCTGTTACACACCTGCTTAGACTCTATCAAAACCTGGTTGGCTGGGAGCTTTCTTCAGCTGAATGAAGACAAGACTGAGATCCTCATCTGTGCCCCAGACAAGCTGGTTCCCATGGTCAGAGACTCTCTTGGTCAGCTTGCTTCTCACACCAAACCTTCTGTCAGGAATCTTGGTGTGACCTTTGACACAGCGCTCACCCTGGATTCTCATGTCAGTTCTCTTGTTGGCTCTTCCTTCTTCCATCTCAGGAACGTTGCTAAGCTGAGTCCCATTCTGTCCCGCTCTGAACTTGAGACGGTTCTCCACACCTTCATCTCCTCACACTTAGACTACTGTAACTCTCTTTTCACGTGTCTGAGCAGAACCTCCCTGAACCGTCTACAGGTGGTTCAGAACGCCTGTGCTCGGCTTCTGACCAAGTCCTCCAAACACACCCACATCACCCCGCTTCTCCTCCAGCTTCACTGGCTGCCTGTCAACTCCAGGGTTCATTTCAAGATCCTGGTTCTGGTCTATAGGGCCCTACATGGACAAGCACCATCTTACATTGGTGATCTTCTTAGTCCCTACACCCCCAGCAGGTCCCTGAGGTCCAGTTATCAAAGCCTACTGGTTGTGCAGCACCAGGCTAAAGACCAAAGGTGACAGATCATTTGCTGCTGTGGCCCCCAGACTCTGGACCTCTCTCCCCCTGAGCCTGAGATCAGTGGACTCAGTGGTCTCCTTTAAAAAGCAGCTGAAGACTCACTTGTTCAAGCTGGCTTTTGTATGACCTTCTTCACCTCTCTCTCTCTTTATTCTGCTCTCCCCACCTATTCCACCTTCCTCAGGATCCACTGATTTCCCTCTTTCCTGTTCACTCTCTCTCTTTCTTAACATTTTTTCTTTTAAATCGCAATTGCTTATTCTTGCTCATTTTAAATATATTTTAAACATTTTCGAAATGCTTTTTTATATATTTACAATTTTTTTTATTTTTTGTTTTTGTGAAGCGTCTCGTGATTTTTATCTTGAGAGGCGCTATAGAAATGATATCTTCTTCTTCTTCTTCTTCTTCAGGCATGCCTCTCTGAGAGGAGACCCTGGGGTAGACGCAGAACTTTCTGGAGGGAATATGAAAAAATCCTGCTGGAGAGACTGGAAAGTGTTACTGAGGAGAGGAATGATGGGACCTCTCTATCTTGTTACATCTACATCTCCCTTGACTCAAAGAAAACCCTAAGTCAAAAATAGTCCAAAGTTGATGCCAAAGCCACTTTAAACAATCCACCGCTGGACTTGTTCGAGATGAGCCAGTTTTGCGCAGATTCGATCACCGTGATCGGTGCGCAGTGCTTCCCGGTTAGATTTGTGCCCGACTTGACGCAGATTTGCTCTGACGTCATGCATAGTTAGGCAATGATATCCTCGTGAGATCAAGGCAGCTGCAGATTTTGGAGCAAGGTGCTGCAGTTGCTCTCCACCAGCTGCAAAACCTAGGGGATGACAGGAAACGCCTGGCTCACACCTGATCTAAGATCTGATTGGTTCACATTCTGATCTAAACATCCGGTGGTAGAACTTGAAATGTTAGTTGTTCACAGGTATTCTGTAAATCATGTTACGTTGATGATGATGACAACTATATAGGCCATAAAGAGAAATGTGATTTATGTCATTTTCTCATGTTTCCTATGAGCACACTAAACCTACAGCTAATAACATTTACTTATTATCTTAGTCATATCTTCATATACAATATATGAAATCCACAAGCACGTGAGGGTGTGTTTCGGTTGCTAACAGGCACCAGAATTAAAATAAAACATTAAACAAGTATGAACACTAACGCCATGTCTTCATCCATCGTCACCTGTGAGCTACACGTGTAGGGAAATCTGTCCGACTTAAACGCCGACTTTCAGCCGCTCCTCCTGCTGCGTCCATCTGTTCTCGCCTGTTTTCCAGGCGAGGCGCTGCTCAACTCGAACAAGCCTGCTATCTTTATAACAGTAACATCCCGTCCACCAACAGAGCGCTGTGATTGGCCCACTTTCATGGAAATTTTATATTTCATTGCTTTAATCCTATTCACAAATGTCCTGAAGCATTCTCACACTCAGACACACCCACACACTGTTCTTCCCACACACACACACACACACATTCTCTCACACAATGACCTCACTCACATTCTTATCTATTTGTTTAAATAAACTCTGTCATCAGATGTTCGGGGCATTTTGCCTCATGCATGTGCCACAGTTATAACTGGTTGACTTGTCTGCTCATTGTCTCCTTCTCTCTTCACCACAGGAAATGGGTTTATTGATAAACATATTGATAAAATCCCTAACACCCACCAAACCAAAACAACGCTGTGATTGAACCACTACGGAGCAGCGGCCATCTTGGTTTGCTAACTTGCAGGTACATCCCGCCCATTTGGCTGACAGAGTGCTATGATTGGCCCATCAAACATACAGGGCGCTGTGATTTGACTGCTTTGCATGTCTGTCAATAAGGCAGTCCACCATTCCATCTTGGAAAAACCAAAAAAATAAAATAATACATCGGTTTTTTTTAAATAAATGCGCTGTGATTGGCCAGTCCCAATTATTTAGAAGTGTTTTGTCTAGATTACATTTTCTTGCAGACAGTAATGCTGTGCAATGTTCAAGCACTTTCTCACAGGAACAGAAATATACTTTCTATTGACTGTTTGATAAATAAAGTAACAAAAATAATTTAATTGTTTTCTTTTTTCCCCAGTCCGTACATGACATTTAGCATTAATATGCCCTGCTTTCCTGCGGGAGTAGCTATCAACACTAAATGCTGTTTTTATGGGAAAGTATTCAAAGTATTCTGAATACAGTACCAAGATTAAACAAAGTAACGTAATTCATTATAGAATACATTTTAAAGCAAGTCTTCAGTATTCTGCAACTAAATACATTCACAACGTATTCTCCCCAATACTGCTGACCATGGATAATCAGAAAATAGATGGATGGATAATTTTACATCTTGTAAAATTGCATGGTTTTATTAGATTTTTTAAGTCAGATATGTGAAATCTGTCGATGGGAAAATAAAGTCCAAGATTCTTTTTTTTTTGAGAGCGTAAGAGTAATTATAACAAAATTACTCAACACAATTCAGTAACCATGTCATTAAACATACCCTTTTTTTAATTCCTGATCCTCACAATCCCTTTTAATTAATTTGCTACAGTTAGTCTCTCAGTGTGAGTGGAATTAGAACTCCTAATTCAAACCAAGCAAGAGAGATTACATTGTTTAAAATAACATTATTAACAGTCTGAAAGCGTTTTTCAGCTTTTCCTCCTTTGTCTCTGCAAACTCCATGCATTCTAAAAGTGGGTTCACGTCAATGCACCAGGCCCCATATGATGGTAAACATCTCAGGAGACACCGCAGGTGATTGTTCCACTTCCAACAGACTGATCATGCAGGCTGGAGAAAACGTACAGGCTGCCTATAGCGCCACGCACCCCTCTGATTCCTTATTCACTGCAATCCCTTTAACGTTGTATTAAAAAGTTTCTGTTTGTGGAGTGTGGGCCAGCCTGACTGGATTTGATCAGAAATGCTTGGAGCCCATATGGAGGTTACAGCACTGACGGCTATGCAAACAGATGAAGGAGGTTTATCTAATGTGAACAGTCTGTCTGGAGGGCACTTCATCCTGATAGCTGTGAATGTTGGTGTGACAGAGAAGGAGACATCCTCTCCACCAGCAGCAGGGGAATGCCGTGAAGCTGATTCAGCTCTGCAATCAGAGCAACCTTATGACAGAAACGACAAAGCCAGCCACAGCCAGATGGGAACATTTAAATCATGACTTCCCACAGAACTGGACGGTGTGAGTTTGCTGCCTGCAGCATGTCAATATCCTGTTTGTGGCTCAGATCAGAGAAGATAAAGCTGTGCAGCGGACTGATATAGCAGAGAGAGAGAGAGAGAGAGAGAGAGAGAGAGAGAGAGAGAGAGAGAGAGAGAGAGAGAGAGAGAGAGAGATTGTTATTTATGAAGTTTAAAACTGCAGCTCGTCAAGTATCGATCAATCTGACTGCTCGTGCGTCACCCTGCCTGTTGCTGCTGCCGGAGGAGGCTGCGCATTCACACTCACATGCAACAGGCAGACTGTCCAGTTGTTTGTTTTATCACCAGAAGGTCCTAATGCAGACAGAGCCAGTGGAAGAGGAGTGTTTACCTTGTGCGTAATGGCGCCGGTGCGCAAACCCTCTCCTGCATCTCCAGCGTTGCGCCTCAGCAGATAAACCACCCCAGCGCTAGAATTCTTCACTCTGTTGGGACAGAAGCAGAAGAGGATGGCAGCTGTGCTCAACGGATCCAACATCACGTCGAACTACACCAACCAGTTCGTCCAGCCACCATGGCGCGTGGCGCTCTGGTCGGTCGCCTATAGCTTCGTGCTGACGGTGGCCGTGTTTGGAAACCTCATCGTGATATGGATCATTCTTGCCCACAAGCGCATGCGGACGGTGACCAATTACTTTTTGCTGAACTTGGCCTTCTCAGACGCGTCCATGGCCGCGTTCAACACCCTGATCAACTTTATCTACGCCGCTCACGGGGAGTGGTACTTCGGGAAAGCCTACTGCAAGTTTCACAACTTCTTTCCCGTCACGTCCGTGTTTGCGAGCATCTATTCCATGACTGCAATAGCTTTGGACAGGTGGGTTTGGGAAATACACAAAGAAAATGACACCAGATCTTCCATATCGCTCCAAAACTCCATCAGACACAGAATCATGCAAGCTTTTGCACTGAAATAGTTCATTAACCATTAAATAAACACATGTATTAATTCATTTTAGTGGAAATCAGCTAAACAAAGGTTTTGTTCTATTTCTGCCAAACATGGCCCATTTAACCTTCAGTTCAAATTTAATTACTTGGCTGGTTTCTTGTAATCTCCTTTCTTTGATGTCCTAACCTGTTTTTGCTTAGTGGGGTGCAGTATGTGGAAGAAAGACCTATTTACTTTACTTACTTTAACTTTAGATGCACTGCATCAATTGTTTTGTGAGTGAGTAGTTTGAAAGATGCCCCCTTGTCTTCCTTTTTCACGCTCTGGCTCTTTTGGTTTCTGTCACATGCACTCATCCTTTATGCTCTTTCACAGATTCTATTTTTGCTTTGACTGTTTCTCATCTGGCTTGGCTTAGATCTGTCAACCTTGATACGTCCCCCAATTACAATAATGAGCTAATGAGGGTTTAAACCAATAAAGTTAGCAACCTCAGGCTACACACACACACACACACACACACACTCACACACACATATGTAAATGCAGAGAGAAAAGCTGTGTTTGTGAGTGTCACAGTGGTTAGCGGTGAATCACAAGGTATCTTCTTTCTCCAGAGGTTCTCCTTGACACACAAAAAGAATAATGCATTGCTTTATTTTGACAGCGACTTCCATGCATTAGTATTTCTGGCCTCTGGCCACCCTTCAATCTTGTAAACTCTGTACAGTGAAAAAGAACATTGTGAAAGAGAACATTGCCACAACCTCCACGATGCTGACGTAACCTGCAGTGGTGCTTTTCGTAACCTCCGCATGATGCTGTCTCCACTCTAATGTCTGGAAATGGCAGAGGCCACAGTTCGTGATCATCTGAATTTGTCCTTCTCTCTTATTCTCAGCGGTGATTTCTGTCTGTAGGATGGGCACGTTTCAGCTTGTGCCTTAAACTAGAAATCTAAAACCACACACACGTTTTTATTAATGGAGTTTTGTTTTGCGCTGTGCAAGTTTAAGCGTGTTGTCCATGGACAGTGTTCTGGTTGCTCCAATGGACAAACCTAAACATTAAAAAAACCGACGTGTAAAAGTAAGTGACCATTTGTGTCTCTCTGTGAACTCTCATGTATAAACAAGCAAAAAGTAAAGATGGTTGCAAAGGGATTATCAGCCGTGTGCATCTGTATTCGCTCGTGCAGAACAACTCCAACTGTTGTGCACTGCTCGCTTCAGTTCCTCCCACAACCTTTACATCGGATTTAGGTCAGGAATTTTACCCGGCCGTTCCAAAACATTAACTTTATTCGTACTTGGTGGAAACACTTGGGTGCCAAGTCATATGGATCTTTCAACATGGCCCAATTTATTTTCAGGTCAACGCGATACAGACATGAGCAAACATTTTTCCTTTAATTCGCTGGTGTTATTCCATCGGTGCTGGGAAGTCATTCTGGTTAACCTTCTCCATCCCAGACCATGACTCTACCACCGTGTTTTTTGGTGAACTCATTGAAGGAGCACCCTCTTAAAACAGCAGACATGAAATAAGCAAGCTAAAGACACAGAACTAAAGAAAGAGATGTAACATGGAAGCTGAAGTCACAAAGGTTGAGTGAGGCCCCTAGTGGGTGGATGCGGTATGATTTATAAGTCCTCAAGCAAAAAACAGTGGCGGCTTCTGAATGTTTTATTTCTTTTTAGGTGGGGCACATTTTTGCAAGTCAATTTTCAGATGCGCTAACCACATATCCCCCACTGGAGATACCAAATTACCATTCTTATTCATCACACAGCTTGAAACGGACAAACCGGTACCAGATCAACGAGCACTTCTGGTAACTAAGTTGCTCCAAATACACGCACAAATATATGCAAACTGCAAGCAGCAGAACTCCTCCAGGCTTTTGTTATTTGTGTAGATAAAGCATCAATGTTGCAGAGCAAACAGAGGCAGTGGTAGAGTCGCGTTGCTGTTAACCGGTCCGAGGCGAGATGTCTAAATATCAGGAAATGAGATTCCAAATCTAAAGCTACTTTTTCCTCCAGCTGAGTTTTCCGTGCTGAAACAGGCACAGCAGAGTTTGTATTCCCCAAAGTACGACTTACAAGGCTTTCATTCCTACTAGAGACCACTGCAAATGTATTAAAATATGAGTAAAGTACCTTTTAAAGTGTCAGTCACCCCCTGACAAGAGTCTTACTCCACCTACACTTCCTGTTAGAAAGATGCGCCCAAAGAAGGCATTGCTCGGTGGATCTAGAGGGGCACTGAGGCAGTGACTGACTGCACCCCCCTCACCCCCCCCCCCATCCCTATGCACTCTGAGAATTTCTCCTTCAGAGAAATGAGCTGCTAACGCACACACACACACACACACACACACACACACACACACACACACACACACACACACACACACACACACACACACAGTTTATTAGCAAAATAAGTTGATTTAGAGGTAACTTGCTCTTTAAGGTTTTGTCATCGGGTCACGATAGAGACAAACTACAATAATATGAGAGCTTTAGAGCCGTAGTTGTGCTGTAAATGGAATGCATTTAATAGTATTGATAGCAAGGATGTCTTGTGGGACTGGGATGTTTGAAACTCTGCGTTTTCTTTGGCGTATCTGAGGGATGAGTTGACATTTAGTTCACACAGTTAGCCTATTTGCTGTGCAAGCTTCACCCACGAAAATCTCTGTTAGCTTCTTACCTTGTGGTGATACAACGTTTACTTTGCAGCAATCAATATCCGGTCTGAGTTTTTCTCCACTGAGAAAAAAAAAGGAAAAAGAAAGATTGAATTGGTTCTTGTCTGTAAATATCTCTGTGGTCATTCTGAGTTCAGACGGAGACCTGTGTGAATGTGCTTTTATCCGAGTACTACAGAAGTATGGTTGATGTTATACCATTGCCTTTTTTAAGCCATACTCCATAAAATATCGTTCAGTGGCTTCACATCTGCTACATCATTGTGGGATTCCTCTAAAAGAATGTCTAACAAAGACCCGGTGTGTTTTTGGTCATGTTTTGGGACTACATGTAGATGGATCTTCGTGACTAGTCTCCAAGAGGTCCTTATTTCATACAATGATTGAATTATCAGCTCAGAACTGTTGTGGTCACCATTTTATAATCATGCATCAGTTTGTGGAAATGCTACTCTCCCACCAGTTTTCAATATTTCACAGTGGTGTCCAAGAAAAAAGATCCCTGGGTTGTGGTATGAATCATTCATCAATTTCTTTGGCAAACAGACATCACCGGTCCAGCATGTGGCTCTACTCAAAATTATATGTGATTTTTCTGCAGAGCTTGTTTGAGAATCACCACCTGAGCTGAACAATTCTTCAAATAATTAAAGAGCAAGTCACCCCCAACAAGAAACTTACTTCACTCCCACTTCATGTTTGAAAAATGCAACAAATGCTGTTGCTTGGCAGACCGAGAGGGCAGAGCCGCTAACAAATACACACACACAGAGGCTCACAATGGCATTATGACATCGTAATATACCAGATGACATCATAGCATACCTCTTAGCCAATAGCGGTGGCAGATTTAAATTCAAATACAGTGCAGAATTTTTCCCTGACGACGGTGCAACACTGACAGTTTTAGGCAGAATATTTGAATTTTAACCAAGATGCACTGAACTGCCAAATTATTGACGACACGTGTCTGTAGCATGATTAGACACTCCTTTATATAGTTTATCAGCAAAAAAAATGTGATTTGGGGGTGACTTGCTCTTTAAGGTTATTACCAGAGTAAGAAAATTGTACATAATTCTTACCTTTACCCATAGAAGCTTTAAAAAAATCACTTTCAGCAATGATTTTTAGGCTTTTTATTTGATAACTCGAAGATTTTTCTGACTTTGATGTTCAAATTGCACTAAATACTATATTTAAACATCTCAAACCAAAATCATTTTGTCTACCTGCTCACATAATCTAAACCAAACTGCAAAATGAAATTATAAATCCTTATTTTCTGGTCTAAACCAGATTTGTAGAGAAGTCTGGAGCCAGTCTTGGATCCAAAGAGCAAACAGAAAAGAAGAATGCTGCGCAGGTTTTTGAAATGATGGAATAACCTCTCCAAAGTTTACACAAACTGTGAAGTTTCTTTATCCTCTTCAACCTGCTGCAGTACAGATCGCCACAGAAGGTAATTCCCACCCACAGCAGCTGCTTAAAAAGGTGACTGCTGAGTGATGACTAATTTTTTTAGTAATTTAAACTGTAATAATGTAATTTTCCTCCGTCCGGGTCGATGATTCATTCAATTTAATAAAAGGAAAACAAGATCAAATCCATTAATCAGTTACTATTTACCAGTTTGGTTAATCTAATCAAAAAACTCATTCAATCTGCTTCCGTCTCTCTGGCAGATACATGGCCATCATCCACCCTCTGAAGCCTCGCCTCTCAGCAAAGGTCACCACGGGGGTCATCGTCTGTATCTGGAGCCTGGCAGTGATTTTGGCGTTTCCTCTGTGTTATTTCTCCACCACCCGAGCTCTACAACGCAGGACCGTCTGCTACGTGGCCTGGCCTCGCATGGCCAACGACCCCTTCATGTGAGAAAATGCTCCTTTGGGAAAATGTTTCTGTGGAAAGAACATTTTCTTCTCTTCACAAAAGTGTTTTAAATGTTCTGTAATGTCCTCTGTAGTTATTGTGGTCATGTTACTTGATTACCATATGAGTGGCATCAAACTCTCAGTAATAATATATTTAAAACAAAAGCGGCTTTGTCCTGTGACGTACGATTTAATGTTGGAACCATAAAAAGAGAACCCAGAAAAACAGAAATGTTAATGCTGCTGCTACTGGTTTAACAGGATCGCCATAGTAACTATAAATCAGTAAAACACAAGAACAGATTTACAGACACACGGGGCACAGGCTCAATGTCAATCTAAAACAAACTATTGCTGTTTAAAAACTACAAGTAATCAAGTCTTCAGCCACTTTTACAACAGTTTATTATTAAAGCTACACCATATCTGCAAAATAAGCTACTTTAAAACAATATTTGCCTCTTAAAAACGTTCTAAAACAGTACAGCTATAAACATTTTGTGGAGATTAAAAAATAAAGTAAGAAATAAATAAAAAAAAAGTGGTTCACTCGCATTTGTTTAAAAACCGTGGGCCAGTAACACGGCTCGGTCAGAAACCAACGATTAGACCATCAGGTTGTCTGTCTCACCGAATTGCTGCACTTCCACGTCTACCTGGGTCCTCTACTCGTTACACACTCGTGCATTTTGCAACAGAGCACCGCTGGTGTGAGATGTGTTTGATATCAGGCGTTTAACCGATCTCTATCAGAGTACGCGTGGGGTGTCTGGAACGTTGAAGTGAGCTGATTTTGATTGATTAATGGTTGAAAATAGTAGAGGTCAAATTTTGGGTTGTCCCGGAAGGCTGAGAGTCCATATAAATAATGTGATATAAATTGCAAATGGACCATTTTTATTGCTCCCCCTTGGTGTTTTACTTGAGGGCTTTTGGGAGTGTCCATCATCTTTTTGGGGGAGCTGGGCTCGCCTCAGCTCCTACACAATTCATACCTTCATCACACTCTAGTGTTCAGTCAAGGACAGCTGTAAACATTATGACAATAATAACCTGAGATTTGTTTGCTTGTTTACAGCCATTTCCTCTGCCTCCCCCCTCAGGTATCACATCATGGTTACAGCTCTGGTTTATGTGCTGCCCCTTGTGGTGATGGGCATCACCTACACCATCGTGGGAGTAACGCTGTGGGGCGGAGAGATTCCCGGAGATTCATCTGATAATTATCACGGACAGCTCAGGGCAAAAAGGAAGGTAAGCATGCCTGAAGGGCAGCCTGTCATGGGGCTCTTCAGCTTTGTGATACAAAATCAGACTGTGAACATGCTTTTAGCTGCATGAGGTGCATTTTTCTGCCAGTTTCAAGCTTTTCATTTTACTTTAATTATTTAACTTTGTTTTAAATTTAATTGGGAGCATTCAATGAAATTTGATTTTCTAACATGTTTTTGTCTAAGGAAGAAAGCACAGACTCTTTGAATCCTTGGCGGCCTGAACTGGAAGGCGTTTAAATAGTAAGGCAGGAAATGACTTACAGTAGCTCTTTGTTTCTGAGCCTTTGGGATCTGGATTGCAGCTTCTGTGTCTGTTAGTACAATCACTGCCACTAAAAAGCATTTCTTTTCTAATGGAAGGGAATGCCAGAACACCACAGCTTTTGTGTACTCCATGTTTCACAAAAATCTATTAGGTCTATGCTGCTGATAATCAACCAAGTGAAAAGGTAGGGTCCTCTGTGGTGACATACTCAATAAAAACAAAAGACAAACTTCATTACACCATCTAATTATCTGCATTGATTGGAACAATTTAATTTGATATAAACCCTGGAGTTATTTAAGATGTAGTTTTTTTTTCTTTTTTTGCAAATAAAAAAGCATAGGATTAGTTATAAAACCCCAAACACCCTAATGGCCTTTAAAAATGTCAAAAAGTTAAACATTTCTATGGCCAGTAACATTTAACTACTGTAGTCTGAGCTGCACCTGAAACAACTGGTAGACGTGAGTACGACTCCAACCAATCGCACTGACCACGAAAAATTCCCTTTCATGTGTGTGCTCGTGCATCAGGTAACACTGCATCAACATTTCAGAGAAGAAAACCTTAATTCAACCCAACACAACCTTTGTGATTGTCACTAACTGTCGATGCGACTGGACAAGCAGCAGCTCTGAAAACCGACCGTGTCTGCAGGGTTTTTGAGTTTGACAGTGTTTGGTTTTTAACTCTGAATGCACTCGTGGCAGTCTAGCCTTTATCCTCAAAAGTCAGCATTGCGTTACAAACGTGTCTCCACAGAACTTATACTGGTTATATTCATCATGTTCATAACTACGCCAGTTTAAAGGTGCAATATGTATATGCTATGTGCTTCATGAGTGGTGATCCGAAATACACCAGACTGCAGAAAAATTGATTCAACAGAAGATCAACAGTAAAAATTGCATTTTGAAAGTGATACAGAACAGCAGTCAGTCGATGCATTTGCATGCGCTTCAGATGACCGGACTTTGTCTTAACCCTTTAGGCGCCATAGTTTTTTCAGTAAAATATGAATTTTTTATATCCCTATTTTAAGAGCTTGTAGCTTAAATCTGGTTAGAGATAGAGGAATATTGTAAATTAGAAAAATCTTCAGTACGAGCCAAGTTTTGTGATAGGAACAAATTCACTCACATAATTTGCATGTTATGATGTCATTAGGTGGCAGCCATATTTGATTGCATCACATTTGCAGATTTTTGTTGTTTTTTTATGTTTTTGTCTTATTTTCTTAGTGTTGTTATTGTTTATGATACATATATACATATTCCTATGTAGACATATATAACTATGTATGTATATACATATAATATTTATTACTTTATTGGTATTTTGTTATGTTTACTGCGTATCAATCAAGAACACTTCAGTGCTTCAGTGTCATGAACACATTTCACTCATCCCTTCTTTGGTTTATTTTGTTTATAATTGTTATATATATATATATATATATATATATATATATATATATATATATATATATATATATATATATATATATATATATATATCCTCAATCTCAGGTTTTTCTGGGGCTAGATTTCAGTTCCTCCCTCTCTAAATACTGGTGAGCATATCGGTTAGTTTAATTTGTGATGAGGGTCCAGAATTCCTCATCCAAAAAAACTGACAGAAAATCAATGTGTTCTGAATTTGACCGATCCCTGTCTCCTCAGTGTCCAGCTGGCTCATCAAAATGCCTGATCCACTTGGAATACTGTTCCTCTGCTCCCAAACTAACCCAGCCATCATCATTATTATTGCCACTGAGGCTGTGTTGGGCCACCCCCCTGCTAGCAGTGATGTTTTTCCCCCTACGTCCCCCTCCTGCTGCATTTCCCGCGATTTACACCCGCGCGTACAGAAAATGTGTTGGAGAAAAACTATCACCATAAGATCGACCTGGATCGCATGTAATCGGATGTAACTGCACTGAATGTAAAAATGGCTCAAATCCATGTTAATGAGAGATTTAACTGAACAATCAGATCAAACAACAGCGTACTAATGGGAGTTCCTATTCAGGGTTATCCATCTGTGTCTGTTAAAGCCTTTTAATCAAACAAAAACATGTCTAACTATGCCAGCCAGCCAGCCGTCTTCTGAACCCGCTTTGTCCACGCAGGGTCGCAGGGGGTGGTGGTGGGGGGGCTGGTGCCTATCTCCAGCAGTCAACGGGCAAGTAGGCGGGGTACACCCTACTCGCAGGGCAACACAGAGACACACAGGACAAACAACCATGCACACACACTCACACCTAAGGACAATTTAGACAGACCAATTAACCTAACAGTCATGTTTTTGGACGGTGGGAGGAAGCCGGAGTACCCGGAGAGAACCCACGCATGCACAGGGGTGCATAGACTCTATGCAGACTCCATGCAGAAAGATCCCAGGCCGGGAATCGAACCCAGGACCTTCTCGCTTCAAGGCAACAGCTCTAACCACTGAGCCACTGCGCAGCCCATGTCTAACTATGACTACATAAAATAGTGATGCTAAATGAGAAGCTGTGCATGGAACCAGTAATAAGTCAGTACTCATAAGGATAAGAGAAAAGTGAGCTACAACACGTTATTCTCAGCTTTAACATTATATTGATTTATATTTTTAAATTTTTTTAAAAACACTGTGTTTCTAAATTTTTCATCTTGCAATAAAGAATGTTCTCAATGATGCCACCAGCCAACACTTTTATCCACCAGATTTATGACAAGTCTGTTAAATTGTGATAGAGAATGATTTTCAGAGAGTGTGATCAATAACCAATCAAAAAAAGAACAGTTTCTGAAGATGTGTGTGCTGCTGTTTTCATTTCATATTTTAAATTTGAGACAAACTACATGATGATTAGAGAGTTGTGTTCCTGCAGGCTCAGAACTGAACTAATCAGTGATCAGCCTGAGGAAACTCTGCCACGCTTCACCTAACAAGATAACACGTTTATAAAACTGGCAAAACACAGGTTTGGTGATAAAAATTATTTATCTCTGTAAACTGAATCACAAAGAAACACAGGAATTCAACTGACTGTCAAGAAACCTTTTGTTTTCAGCCCAAAAGCTAATTAAAAAATGTGTTTTAAATAATAGCTGCTCTTTGCGTGCTTTTAGCTTTCAGATTATTTCATCAATCACAGCTTTTGCCAATTAACTCAGTGTTGTTTTGCAAATTTATTACCTGTTTGTGTCTCATTTGTCCAAACGGAGAACAAACCATGCAGAGGTGCATCAATCAAGAACTTAAGGATAATTTTTTAAAACTGTGAGCACAAAGACGATAATTCAGGAATTAGATGGACAAAGCGTCTTATTCTCAATCAACACAACTTTGTTCCACTCAGAAAAAATACAGTTTTCACTCTAAGGGTGTTTGAAATTCGTTCAACAACTGGTCAGTTTTGAAAGTGTCCTGCTGATGACCACTAATTAATCAGCTAGCTCTATAATAGACATCGATTAGCTGGTCAAGGGCTGCAAGGAAAACCTTTGAAAAGTGTTTCCTCTCATAGCCACGGGTCACTTTGTGCGCTCTGCATATTTAGTCTGGACCGACAGACCTCTACCTAGACCTCTTTTTTATTACAATGTAATTTTAATAAAAATATATTTAGTATTTATTACATTCATACATATATATATATATATATATATATATTTAGTATTTATTACATTCATACGTATATATATATATATACATATATATATATATATATATATATATATATATATATATATAGTATATATTACATTCATACATATATATATATATATATATATGTATATATATATGTATATATATATGTATATTAGGGCTGCAACTAACAACTATTTTAATAGTTGACTAGTCACCGACTATTGAAATGATTAGTCAACTAATCGGATAATTATTAAATTTTTCTTAAATTTAGCATGAGATTGCTTTAATTGTGTGAAAAATTATAAACGCAAGAAAGATGGGTACTTCAATGGAAAATGCATATTTTATTGAACTTTGCTGCAGATAAGACATTTCATACTAACAGTAAATAAAAAGGCCCTGTCTAACACCAATGAGGCACAGTGCCCAGTCAGTATAGACATAAATGCATGAATAAAATAAAAATAAATTTGTCAGGCACGGTCGGGCATAACATTAAATCTCTCTGTTTTAAAAGCGAAAACATGTTTGAAAGATCTACAATGTACACCCAAAACAAAACGTATTAGTTTTCGTGTTATTTAAATCTTACCGAGGTGAGTCAGACTCTGTTTCATTCAACTGTCCGACGTGCTTTATCTTTAAGTGATAGTGCATCTTCGAGGTGCTGCCGTGATACACAAGGACTGCTTTGCAAATAATGCAGGTAGAACTTTTTATTCACCGAATCCAGGCTAAAATGCTGCCAAACTTGAGATGTTTTGGTATGCGTAGCTGCTGTGTCGGATGCCGCCATTTCTGCTAGTTGACACTCAGCAGAGAAGCTATTGCCCATGTGCCACTCTCGGCAGAGATTGTAATGAAGTGAGATACCTCACTCGGTCGGAAAAAAACACATCTGGCGACAACGTCCACAATGACATTCATTGTCGGCTATTTCCATTGTCGATATTTGTCGACAACGTCGATGAATCGTTGCAGCCCTGCTATATATATATATATATATATATATATATATATATATATATATATATATATATAATTTTTAGTTTTAGTTTTTTTTTTTTTTT